AATAGTTTATCTCTTCTGACGAATGTACAGCACGCCCGTCCTATCTAGATGGATCAACCATTGACAAAGCCTTGGTAGTTCCACACATGATAAGAACCGTTCTATCTTCTCTTTCGTACCAAACTTCGCCAACTCATTTCGAACCTGATTACCTTCCTTGTACTAATGCATGGTGTGAAAGTCAAATTTCCTGAGAAGCTCAATTAGAACTTCCCAAAAATCCCACAAGTACCATAGCATATATTTTCTTGTCAAAATCCAGGAAACCACCAACAACGAATCACACTCAATATCTAACTGAAATAATCCTAAATCCTGACAAAATGTCAATCCATCAATAAGAACCCTCAACTCTGCTTCATTGTTAGTGTCATATCCAGAGAAAGAAGAAAAACCTGCTATCAATCTACCCATATCATCCCTAACAACACCACAGTCGCCGGCCATTCCTAGGTTACCTAGACAGCTTCCATCTACATTTAATTTTATTCTGCCATCCAGAGGTTTAGCCCATTTAACAACTCAAAAAGGTCTCTTCTGAGACACTGTTGGAGTAATATTAAAGTTTCTAAGAAGTAATTCTTCTGATTGTGAAAGGGCTCGTTCCTTTTTCAAGTTGGATGACACATGTCACAGCCAAGATTTTATCGAGCAAAGAATCTTCTCCATAGTTTCATGAACACCTTCAAACATTGCCGTTGTCATTTGAAGTCTTTAATCAACACAAGAAAATTTTTGAGGGTTAAAGTTCAGCTAGAAGTACCAAAAAGATATTTCACAGAATATATGACAATACAAAGTATCACACACAGTATAAAAGTATCGTGGGGATATAACATAGACAACAGTAAACAAAAGTAACCAATCAGAGAAATAACAAATCACTTCAGAATGCAGTGATGTGTCTTGAGTTCACTAGGATTCTGTGAGGCTCAAAGACCCTAGGTCAAGGCTCGACCCAAGTCCACAGTAGTGCATTGCAAGTGTACAGTATTAATACAGAATCAGTAGACTGTCACCGAGACTAAATAGCAGGTAAACAACAAGGATCAGAAATTAATCACAAAGATTAATCAATAGGTGAAATATAGGGATCACGAATTAATCACACGGATTAATCAATAGGCAATATTCAAGAATTAATCACAAAGATTAGAGAATAGACAAACCACAAAGATCAATAGTTAGTCACAAAGATTAATAGCATGTAGAACACTTTTTTATAGAGATAGTGTTTGCAATATTCCCAAATTCCAGAAAACCTCAACACAAGAAATATACACAATCCTAAAGCTCTCAGTAAAGAATCATGTATCATGTGTAAAAGTCACAAAAGGGTTAAAGAAATTGACTAACAGATCGTGTATCACATAGAACATCCAAGTTTCAAAACCAGTTCACCAAGAAAAAACTTAAAATCCAATTATTCCTACAAAGTCACCAACAACAAATGTGAGTATACCAAGAAAAGGTAAAAGATCAAAAAATTGAACCAAGATCTGTCACCAATCGATCTAGGGTTTCCAGCAACTATTGGTCTCACAAGAATCGAGCTGTGAAAATTAATTTTCCACGACCAAAGGCTAGAGATAGGAACTCATACGGCCTAAAAGAGGCTCTGATATCACTGTTACAACACGAAGACCCAAGATCGCACCAATATTACAGAATGTAGACAATGACCAAGGTAATAAGTTCTCATAGATTTGGGCTCAAATCAACCTTGTACCCGTCTATACAAAGGATTAGACTCACAAAGACACAGTCCCAAACCCGACACAGAGGCAGTTGCTTCCATGGAACGAAAACTCTAAAAACAAACAAATGGAAACTCTTTACAAACCAAAACTAAAGAATCACAAAGACTCTACGCACAAAGAATCACTAGAAAACTAGGGATTTAATGGCTAAATGAAGAGATGCATGAAGAAGGAGAAGAGGCAGAGACACCAAGTCTCGAAGAGGAGAGACCCAGAAGGTTCCACAAAAATCTCATGAAGAGGCGCAAGAATAATGACTCAAAAATTAGGGCCAAAAGTGTCAGACCATCTATTTATATTAATGGGTCATCACCGAAGATGTTAGGTTTAAGAGGTTAAACAGGCCATAGCAACACATGTAGGTCAAACGGTTTGGGCGGGTCATAAAAGTCCATCGTCGTGTGTTATTGGGCAAGGGCTTAAGTAGTATCTATTGGATCAATTTATCATCATAGCCCAGATGGACTAGTCCACCAAGAAAATGGCATCATAGCCCAATATTTACTGATGATGGAATCACGTTGTCGTCTCCCTTCCTACCATCAATTGGCCTCACATGGAACGGATAACTGGATAGAGAGATTGTCATGGAGGTTTTTGAGATGTCCATCTCAACATATACACGAGCCCCATCAGTACTGGAAGCACAAGCAGTGAAATTGTCCCGGTTCAGAAGACGTCCAAATGTTCCTCCGATCACTCATGAAATGGATTCATGATAATAGTGAGGAGGAAGCCCTAGGAAGAATATCCATATTGGCACCAAAGTCAATTCTTGATCCTCATCGAAATTTGGGGACGATACGGGGCACTGTCGATATTAGATGATTCTCTCTTACTAACAACCCTAAAGTCCTCTCCTATCGTGAGACGAATAAACACATTTCGTTGCCTTTATTCGTAAACGATGCCTTTAATCCCCATCGAGATGAATTAATTAGGGATAGAATCGAACTGGACCTGAAGTTTTCAAATATTTAGTAAGCAGTATCGTCAAGTCTAAATTTAATTATGGAATCATTTGGGATTCTATTCGTTTCAGTTCGGTTTGGTTCAATTCTCGAGTTCCGTAATATAATAAAATTTTCAATATTTACAAAATTATATTAATTCAACTAATGACATGTTTAATATTAGCTCTTACAAAATAACGTACTTTAGTCTTATGTGTCTCTTTTTGCTGAATTTTTCATAAACTTGATTTTTAAAATCACAGAAAGAGAAAAACAGCGAGCTCACAATAATTAAGAGATGCGTTGTCGAGTTTCGATTCGATTTCTCTAGAACGGTAAAATAACATTGCAGTAGAATAACAGACTTGAGTAAAACTCAGGTCAATTTGATTAGGTTGGGTTTGAACTGCAAATTAGAAATAGGAAAAATCATATTTTTTGGTTTGAGCTAAATTAAATAATTAATAAATTATTTGAAAAAATAAAATAATTAGGCTTATATAAAATAAATTAATTAGAAAATTTGGGAGATTTGATTCTTCGATTTTTGATCTAGAACCAAAAACTGAACCAAACCCATCGGTTCTCGATTCTGATATCCATTCGAGTATTTAATTTAAGAAGAATCGCTCAGTTCGATTCAGTTCAATTCGGGCTCAATTCGAGAGTTTTGTCTAGTACTAGAATTAATCTATGAAATTTTCATTGTGAAGGGGTTGATACTTTTTTTGAAAGAATTGATTGCCCTTTAACTAAGGATATTTAGTAGGTGATTTGTTGAATTTCTTAATAATTAAAATTGATTAATATTATCAATAGATTTTTCATAGATAATATCCATTTAGCTTCACCTACAGAAATTTGGTATGTGAAAGTTTGAATTGTTTTCTTCGGAAAAAAAAAACCCGATTTACATCACCTACAAAATATCTATACGTGAAAGCGACTATATCAAGTATGGAATATCCGTTGGTAAAGAGATATGTGCTTTACTGATAGAAATTTCATTGCTAATTGCCGTATTTGAAAGTCTATTACATTTATCAACAGATAATTCATAAGATTACAAATGGATGCAAGTAATTATCTTCCAGAAAAAACTATTTTTTGGTAGTGGTATGCAAGCATACCTTACCTTGTGTACTTAAATTAAAAAGATTAAGGATAACTTGAACTCCTTGAAAAACTAGATCTTAGTCATTCGAAACCCACTTTGTATTTAACTTCATCCTTTTTCATTTTTTTTCCTTACTCCCAAAACTCAGGAACAATGAAATTACATGTGTTGGTGTGTGCGCAAGGGAGAGAGATGAGAGAGGGACTTGTGATTATGCTGTGCATACGGAAGATTCAGGTCGTCTTGGGAATTGAGACCAATTTCTCAATTTGTCCACATAATTTTTGTTAAGAGAATTTTGGTCTTGGACTTGGATGAGTTCAGAATTGAGGCGAATTTTTCAATTTGTCCACAGGATCTTGTTAAGAGAATTTTGTGATCCAAAAAAAATTATAATAGATGGATAATATGAATACGGAGATTTACGTGGAAAACTCCGCTATTAAAGAAAAATCATGGATTGTCAAATACATTTATATATAAAAAATTTATACAACCATGTAAAATCTCTCACAACCTCCGAAGCTTTGAAACACTGCAAAATATTAATATTAGATGAGACTACAAAGGATCCCAATTCTCACCGTAAAATAGTCATGGACTATCTAAAACCTGGATAAATGAAATACTAAAGGAAAAACTCTATTTCTAGAGATACGAAAGATAGTCTTTCCATTTTGTGGAGTTATTTAGGTTGCTGAAATCTGCGTCCAAATATTACTTATCCCATGTTACTGAAATATAGAGTGACCCGACTCGTGTGCTTGATCAGTTTTTCTGAAACTTTTGGAATTCTTGGTAAAACGTTTTTCTATACATACCATATTCATTTAGTAGAGATTGAACGGGATGTAAAGATGTGGTGGCTTCTTGGCCATTGAAGCTACGTTATTGGATGTATTTATTTAAGGATTAATCTATTGTTATTTCAAATAATTGGCTTTAAGGGAATGAGAGAAACCCTAGCAGCTCATTTTCTTCGACAGAATTCCTTACTTCGTTTATTCTTTAAATTTTATTAGTAAAATTGTAAAGAGGGTGGTTTTATACGTGAAACTAAAGTAACCCATCTTAGTGAATGCTTTTGTTCAATTCCGTAATTTTGGTACTTATGTTTTACGATTTTTGTTCGCTGAGTGAGAAATGTTCTAATCTAACTTTTGCCTTGTCATTTGAAATTGCGCTAGTGGATTCAAGCATAATCCTTAATGGATGCTCAATGGGTACTAACTGTTAGAAGTAATTATTGAACCTCCAGAACTTGAGCTTAAAAATCTTGCGTTGTAACTGTTTTGGTTTTAATCTTTGAGTTCTTGGTACTATTGAGTCCAATAATATAACCAATAGATTTTTATTCAACATGAGATTCATAACAGTCTCATCCCGACTTTTGAGAAAAAAAAACCTCAAATCAATATTACTCTTTAGGTGACGAAAAATATGTTTAATTCCATTCTAATGAATTTGAGTTGATGCAGAGCTATATCTTGCAATGAGATTTGCATAAAAAGTCATGTCAGATCGCATGCAATTTGGAAGATAAGTTAATACTTTAATTGCACTAAGATATGGTACTTTAGACAAAGAATCTTTTCTCTATCTTCAAGTGGATGAATAGATTTTTTTCACATCAAATGATCGAACAACCATAGGTGATGCTAATGGATGTGTGTGTGTGTGTATATATATATATATATATATTGATGAACAAATAATCATTTTGAAAAATGTTCAATCTTCATATATATATATATATATATATATATATATATATTGATGAACAAATAATCATTTTGAAAAATGTTCAATCTTCAATCCGAGATAAAATTTGATTTTTTAGCAAATCTTTCATCTCAAAATTATTTTTCAAACAATCTATTGTTTTATTGAACTCTTTAAGAGTTCCAATTAAATTTAAATCATCAACATAAGCTAGCATAATTTCAAATTCAATATTTGTTTTCATTATGAAAACACATTAGTAGACATCGTCCATTTTATAAGCATCCTTCAACAAATATTGATCTTTGCAATTTTATTGAGAACATGGTTTTCGAGCACATATTATTTGCACCTGGTGCTTTAAGTCCTTTGAGGACTTTCATATATGTCATTACCAAGTGAACTGTACAAATAAACAGTTACTACATTCATAAGGTCCATAGCGAGCCTTTGTAAAAGTGATGGTGTCCATTACGGGAGAATGTTTCTTTATAATAAAATCTTGATCTTTGTGAGAAACCTTAACCTTCGAGTTGGGCTTTGTATCTTGTAATTTAATTATTTTCATTTCTCTTTTGTATAAAGACCTATTTGTATCTACAAGGATTATATTTTCAATTGCTCGAACTGCAGATCCAAACACTTTTTGTTATTCTAAGGAGTTCAATTTCGCCTGTATGCCTTTTTTCCCCTTTGACCAATCATTTCTACGTTGATAGTTTTCAACATGTTGTGGTTGAAGATCATCATTTTGCATAATATGAAGAACCATGTTAAATGCAAAATTGTTGTCTATAACAACATTATTTCATCTATAATTCATTTAAATTTCATTTTTTTGGACACCTGTGGTTTTTCAGTAACCATATTT